GTAGTGACGTTCCGGGCAAACAGCTCATTGCGAAGATCCTCTCGCAACCCGGTTCGAAACATAGACAAGATTTGCGCAGGGGTGGTAGAGGTCTCCCCCTTGCATCGAATCAGGTAGTCATCAAAGGAGGCGATGTGCTCCTTAACTGATTTATTGCCTTGAGTCAGCCTATTCCACCTATCCAAGAGTCGAGGGAAGTACGAGGGTGGCAAGTACTTTTGTTTGAGTTCCCGCTTCATGGATAGCCAGTCTACAATAGGGTACTCATTCCTATCTTCTCTAAGACTCTCTAAGTTCGCCCAAAATTGACTCGCCCTACCCGTAAGCTTCATGGTAGCAAAACTAACCTTCCTGGCCTCAGAAATATCATACCACTTAAAGAAATTATCCATACCTTTGACCCAGTCCAGGAAGAGCTGGGGATCGAGGGTGCCATCGAAGGTAGGAGCATCAACCTTAATATTCTTCATCAGTGGTGCATCGAGATCATGGCCGTGGTAGGTAGTACGATGATTGGCACGGTGATGCCTATCATCCAAATCAGGATCATGATGTGGATCATGTCCATGGTAATGAGCTCGATGATTAGCCCGATGTGGCCTCTCATCCGGGTAGGTGTCATCCCCATACATAGAAGGAGGTCTAGATGGAGTAGGGTGGTTTCTAGCTCGCTCAAGTGTATCAAATCTCTCGTTGGTGTTCCTACGAAGCTCAGCTAAATCCGACTGGTTTTCCTTAAGCTGCTGGCTAATGTTGTTCATTTGACCTACCAAGAGGTCTAAAGTCCTCCCTAGTTGTTCCGGGTCCATTCCTAAACACAATGGGATACTTAGAGGGCTTCCTAGAAAGTGGACAGCAAACTAAGGGATGGAAAGACACTCTAAAATAACTCTAAAAGGTGCAGGAAAATCAGGGACAGCAACCTACACTCAAGCACTAAGTCACCCTAACAAGTAATAATGAATGCAAAGTTTAAGGACAGCAAAAGCACACTTAAATAGGGATAATAAAGTTTGCAAAACTGCAGGAATTTCGTGGACAGCACACTAAACAAGGGTGTAAGGTGAACTTAAGATGTTTTATATGCTCATAGAATGACACACAATGACTTAGTAGCACCCTAGGGATAAAATGAGAAGCTTTCTAAATGAAATTAATGCCAAATGAAAGCAGAAAAAGGAAAACTACCAGGAATCCTAAAACATGCAAGAGCATACCATGCTCTGATACCAGATGATGCAGGACTACTTAGATTACATGCTTATGGCTTCATTTTAGGCATTGCACAACTCTTTGATTAGAATAATTTTGGATTAAAATTATTAACAATTCTCAATGTCGACTAAAACAAATAAAGAGATGCTTTGCGTAGGCTAAATCACATGCTCCAAACTTTGAAATTTTCAAGATAAATAAGACAATTGAAACAATGCAAAATAGTAGTCTTCAATTTAATCCCTAGTCTAACAACAAGATTTAGGATGCAAAGAAAGTACACTCAATAACCTACGAATTACTAAGCTTAGCAAGAGCACTTGGAGGAGACTTTCGCGATTACAATCTAACCAATTGAGAACTTAGATTCAGAAGAATTTGAATGCAAGTGAAAAAGAGAGAACCTTTGCTAAGGAGAGGTGACGGTCCTCCACTCGATGCCTTCGAAGTCTTCGTCCATGGCTTCCGTCAAAGCAAATAAGAGGCGTCTCTCGAATAGTCACAAAGAGAAAGAAGTTTCCATTGATAGACGAGAGGATGCAAGCTCCACACCTTTTCTCATAGAATTTGAATGCAAGCTCCACAAACCCGGCCGTCTCCAAACTTGGTGGGTGATACGCCAATCTCCCTCTCCAAGGGATCTCTCCAAAGCTCTCCAAGAACTCTCAAAGGCTCTCAAACACAAGTGCAGGAAAAATTCTTAATAATCATTTATTCCCTCAAAATAAAGGAAATGAGGCTATAAATAGCCGGGTACAAAGACTCAAGAAAATAAAAGACCAACTTGCCCTTTGGGCTTACATGCAACCACTCCCATGAAAGGGGTACAAAGGGAAATAATAACAACACCTAAGCAAATAAGAAAATGCATAAATAAAATAAAATACAATCGTGACTCAGAAATACAAGGACTAGATTGTGGTCGTAGATCGGCGGCCACGTCTCTGATAAACGTTCCATGCTGATCTGATGTCCCCATCATTATACCTTGGCAGTGTCGGCATGTAGAACAAGGCAAGTGAGAGGCATTTTCATTTTTTTTTCTATTTTTTTAAATTTATTAATTATAACTAATTTTCATTATTATTATTATAAATTAACTATAATTAAAAGTAACTAATTATAATTAAATTCAATTAATTATAATTAACTTAAACTTATACAAAAATTCAACAAGGTTTATATAGGATTTGAGTCAAATTTAAGAAACTAGTAAATTTCACAACAATCTAAAGTTTCTATTTGCCTCTTTAATTGTAAATCCCTGACTTAATAATCCTGTAGTTCGGCACGTTTATGGGATATGGCCGAAAAAGCGCATGTAAGGGAGAAAGTTGCCTTCACAGCGAGCTCCCCTTGTTGCTTGCCATCAAAATGTCGGAACTTCCAACCCGACAGGAATAAGAACGTCGTCAAATGAGCGAAGTTGGCTAGCAATGGAGGTAAGTTGATCCCTCCTCTCTCTCTCTGGACTGAAGGAACTAGGAGGTCGGCAAGGCTAGGGTTCGACTATAGAGGTCCAAAGCTAGGGTAGGAATGGAGGTCGGAGGGGCTTCGGTTCGGATGTTTGGAGGTCGGGTCGATCGTGGGAGTTCCGATTGATGGAGTTTGCTTGAAGAGATGGAGGATGCGGGAAGATTATTTACATCCAGATCCCTGGGTTTCAGTTTTAGGAGGCGGAGATGGAAGGAAACAGAGTTCGGGTCTTCGGGCGTGTAGAAGCTTTGTGTGTCCCGGGGGAAACCAGAGCTTCAACTCATCGTCATTTTAATAGCGACCTCAAGAACACGATCGAGGAGAAATCTTCGCACACGGAATGGGCTGTGCTGCCGTTCGGCGCCGTTCACAGAATGCGATGGGATTTTGACAGAGATATGGGTATGGGCTGCCGAATGGTGCATGTATTTTTTATAGTTTATTTATTTTATGGTGATTTCATTTTGGCATTAATAGAGGTCAACATTTACGAATCTAGAGTGTTTTTCTTTTCATTAAAAATGAAATTTTAGATTAATAAAAAATAATACTTAATTTGTTAAAGACGGCCTCTACTTTCGGTTAAGTTTACTGGCACTAAACGGAAAGGAACTACCAAAAACTGAAAATGCAGCAATGTTAAACACAATGAGTTATAAGGCCTACCTGTTGGCGAGCAGCAGCAAGTTTTAAAAGTTCATCTGCCTCTGAAAAGTTCATGAAGCATTGACTAAGAGGATGGTCCTTAGTGTCGCCTCTTTTCTTCTCGAGCACAAGTTCAGGAGGACCTATGACATTCAAAGCATAGATAGCATCTAGTTAGCTTCCATAAATGAAATGATCAAACCAGGTGGTGCATTCGAACTGCGGGAAGGTACCAGGTGGTGGCAAATTGAGCCCAGCAGGTAGCCTAGGAACCATTGCAGCGGGATGATTTTGAACACGAAGAAAAAAAGCCTCAGATGGCTCGAAAAAGACAATCTCATCATAAGTTTCGATAACAACTGGTTTTTTGGTTGATTGGGGACCATTATCCTCCTCAGGGTACAATTTAAGTTGGTGATACCTACACAAATTTGAGGATTTTAAATTAGAAACTACAATAAAAAAAAAATAATATAAATAAAAAATTGCATAGTCCTAACAGAACTTACAAGTCAAGCTGCTTGTCACAGACATCATTATGGAAAAAGATATTAATAGCAATTTCAAATTCTCCCCACCCAGATTCTGACAATTCAAAAGGTGGCGACTCAACAATTCGTGTTGGATTGTTGAAACTGGGATGTAGTTGAAATACAACACGCTTAACTATCACACTCAAATCCTCATTAGTTGCCCCACGGACATAAACAGTCCATTTATGAGAATTATATCTACGGAAAAATGTCATTTTATTACAAAGAAGATCTTAACTTAAAGTATCAAGTTTAGTATCACATGTAATCCATTAAAAAATACTGCAATCAAGGGAAAAAATTATTTACATCCAGATCCCTCATATTCAGCCTAGTAAAGATTATGGTCCTTGGAGTTTTCATTTTTCATATTTGTTGGTCAAAAACTGAAAATTGAATCCTATTTCTTTTGGTCCCTTGCCATCATTAGACCTCACCAACCACCCATAAACAATTAAATGATCCAAATGGCCTCATCATGGGTTCCTTAAGTGAGTTATTGGTAATTTGGGTGCAATCAAATTGACAAGGGCCCAAAAGAGATCTGATTCAAATATAATGGATCCAATGGTGAAAGATGAAAACTTCGAAGAATCTGATAATTTACTAGAGTCAAGACTGAGGGATCTATATGCAATTTACTTTAAAACCTTTGATGTAATTGTAAACACTTACTCGCTAGCTTTTTTACCAAGCCAAAAGGATATAGTGCCATACACAATTGGAAAGCTGATTTCCACATCCTTGAGTCGCTTGGACTGACCCTAAATTAATAAAAACAAGATAAAAATAAGCAATATTTGCATAGGCTGTTAAAATTTTTTTATTATTATTATTTTGGGGAAGCAGCCAGGAACTTGTATATACTCCAAATTCAACTTTCGCACATTACTATATTGGCCTTCATTGATGTACAGGGAAAAATCCGATCCAGGACAGCCCTGCTAGTGAAAAATTAGCAGAAATATGGCATGGTATGTTAGTAGCATCGTACTACTCCAGAAATACTTGACTGCAATTGCAACCACCTGAGCCAAGCATAGATAATCGAAGCTCTTAACACTACAAGTACCATTTTCTCAATACTGAAATACTCATCATTAACAATTAATTGTTCATACTCTCTGACGTTCTTAGCAACATCTATAGGCCTTAACCTGAAGGTTAATACATATCTTACCCCAATTTTGATGGATTCTCAATAGGCTAAAGTCCAAACACCATTTGTGTTTGATTCAGTGTCTGAATTTGCAGCTAAAATTTCGCACATCAAGCTTGTTAAAATGACAATATATCCACCAGCCCATACAGAATTTTCATTCCCATAATCACCATGCACTAATAATTTTCACCTTGATATCCAAGCCACAGCACAAAACTATACTTCAATCACAAAAGTGTGCTTATGAATTGTATCAATCCCAGTAAAAATGTATATAACTCTATACAAAAGTGTTGAACACACTCAGATGATACGTTCGGTGTCATGAAAACATTTCATAGCATTCAGTTCAATGAGTGATTTTTTGAGTGTTTCAATACAATCAAGCATATATTGGTTCAATTCCAATAACAATAAGAAGCTTGCTCAGAGTATAGTAAAAAGAATGTTACGGGATTCATAAAGACATGCAAGTGTAAGTACCATCCGTGACCAATGTTCTGGTTTCTAAAAGATTGAATGATTAGATCGACATGCCATAAGACCTTTTTTTATTTATTTTTTTATTTTACATGACCATAAGACCTTAAAACAATACATCTACCAAATGGTTTGTCTTTAAGCAGAATAAATTATTTTTTTTTTAAATTTAATGGGCAGTCTTAAATATTTTTTAAATTATGAATTGGTAGGGATATGATAGGAAGTGGATTCAGAAATTGAGAAAAAAAGTTGGCTGAAATTCAGTTTCAGCAAAACTAAAAAACGGCAACAACACAACTAGGAAGAACACACAAGAACTTTTTTTATTGAAAGATCTATGAAGGAAAAAAGCAAGATACAATTGGATCTTCAATCGGAGAAGAAAATTCCGCTCTTCCAAATCCCTAGCCACCGGCTAAAGCCCTCTCAATCTAAGCAAATCTAAATTCAGCCAAACCAAGAATAAAACTGAACCATAGAGTAAACAACCTACTTAAAGCATAAAATAACATAGCAAATCCCAAAACAGCCCTCCCCATAATGCTTTTCCCTCCAAATGGAGTAACCCGATGGCCGATATAGTAGGCCATACTAACCCGGTGGGGTGCTGAACATGGATGCCTTCCAAACCTACTCAAGCCAGGTCAATCTACCTCTCACCCAAAGCAAAACTGGCTTGTAAGCAACATATGACACAATCATATGGAACTACACAAATATTCATAATAAATAAACATTCATATCATCAGACCTTAAAGTCAATAAAAATTTTAAGCCAAAGAAAACCAGATAGATTTGGTTAAATGCTCTTAGACTCTGAGTTCACACAAAACAGGCCAATTAGGCTTAACTTTCTCTTAACTCTCCTTCTAACTCCCCGCCTAATGTTAACTCGTCCCTTAGAGATATGAATAAGAGTAGTGAGTAAAATAGTGAATTTGTCTAAACAATAGAGGCAGTACACCAATGGCTAGTACAATGTGTAAATATCGGAAACTCAATAAATACAGATGTATGGTCATTCATGCAAACATGTAGTCACTAGACATCGACACAACACATTCAGTTTAGCCATCCATGCACAGTCAGCCCTGTATTACTCATTTATCCAAAGCTAGTATAGTAATTAGGTGCAATGTTGTCAAAGATCGCACAATTCTCCATGTTCGATCAGCCATGGGGTCACATAGTCCTTCCTATCTAATCATCAATTGAGTCATACAACCCTCCTCCCAAGTTCAACAATGTACATTGAGCAGCATTTCATTCCACTCTTACATATATTCATGTCATCACAAATAATGTTCAAATATTCATAAGGAGGATGAAGAACATATAATGCATATACATATACTACCTAACCACTTTCCATAGAAACTATAAGGAAGATAACATATGAATTAACGGATTAATCGTCTAAGAAAAATGTGCCACTCTTAATAGATTTAAGATTAAACACATGAAAGTAGGCACAAAGAGATGCAGATCATTATTGATCGTTAACTCTCGAATTTGTTGCTCTCAATAATCATCAGCTCCTCTCAACTGAAGGGACAAAATTATCCGGCCTCTCTTCTCACACAACAATCAATGAAACAGAAACATCTTTAAGGAATCTGCTCAGTTTATATAGCATTAGAAGAAACAAAATCAATGATTGTCTGATACCCAAGTGTATTCCATTGGACTCATAAGGATGACTCATATACAATCCTAGCACGTGGTGATTCCCTAAAGCACCTTTTTTCAAAGGAATGATGATATGAGGCAATTTACTTAAGGTCGCTCTATCCCTATACTGAGAGACAAGTCTATATAAATAAATGGTCGGAGAACAGCTCTACACTTAAACAGTTCAATAAAATGAGACAACAATAGGCACTTTACATATGTAGAAAGCTGAAAGAAAATTGCATATCCAATTAGCTAGTCTAACCACTAAATAATATTTGCCTAGCTAGTCAGTCACATAGCTCAGTTGGTCGATCATCCAACTCGAGCAATTCATGAACCATTTGAATACACGCTTCAGTGTAAATTGATTAATATTACTACTTGATAATTCTCATTGATAGTAGGATAACACCAATACAATGGTTTAACATGGCAGACATCCTCCTAACCTGTCCAATCCTAAACCTAGTTAAGCATACACATTTACTATATTTCATTAGATTCCCCTAGAATCTTCTCGAATTTGGTAATATTTGATCCAGTTTGGTCAAAAAAACACAATTCAAGTCGAGAGCCTACAACTTCATAAAAAAGGTTGTCATGTTCTCCCCCACTTGTAACAATCATATTCGCCGCCACTTGGAAATTTAAATCCTAAAAATTCATACATGGATAATCAAAAGGCAGGGGTAGTTATCCTTCATTACCTTTGTACTCCCCTGCAGCTTCATATTTAGTATGATTTTGCCAATGAACTTTGACGATACAGATCTTGTGATGAAGTGCTTATCATGTTGAACCAATTATGATCAAGTATAGCTTTGTATTTCAACTTGGGTTGCACTTGCATCTCCTCAACAATCTGTATCAGGTCAAGAATGCAATAGAACTAACATGTGAAAGATTCATGCATTCTAGTCAGTAGTGGTGAAAAGGTTAGTCGATAGACAATAGGTCCTACTAGAGTTGAGATCAAGAATGGTACATTGTAATGTGGTTTAAGCTTTACCACTAAACCAAAATGCTTCATCCCTCTCATCAAGCTAATTTATACATCATATCCTACTTCAAAGTGAGCATCTTCTTTCTTATTTCTTTCACCACTTGAGGTTCCATTGAAAGCTCATTCTCATGGGTCAATCCAACATAGAGGCAATATGCACTTCCTTTCACATAATACATTGAATAATGACATTTAAATAAATTCCAAATAAATATATATCACTACCTATCCCCATCAAAGTCAAGCATGCACATAATGAGTAAGTTTTCCAATGTTTGGTAAGTCATGCAAAAGCCAAGATGGGTCCTCCATTGCAACTTAGATATACTACAACAATCTAGACGTAAAGCAACCATCTCAATTCAACAGTATAGCCTTGAGTACAACATGAAGTTGAGCAGTCGCATGAATGTGCAACTAGGTTATTCAATCTACAGCCTACTTTTGATAAATGGATGGAAATTGGGTACTCTTCATAAGCCTATGAATTATTACCAAAATTATGTCGTAACCTTGGGGCATCCTAGGCAGTCTTCTCATGAAATCCATCGTTACATAAGCAAGAGTTGCAAAAATTCACTCAGCCTAAGGCATTCGACATTCAACACTTGACATGTCATATACTTGTTGAAGAACTCAACTATAACTTTCTTCAATCTACACTAGGGGTGCAAGTGAGCCGAGCCGGCTCGAGCTCGACTCATTTATGGGCTCGCGAGCCGAGCTTATCGAGCTCACGAGTCGAGCTCGAGTTCGAGCTAGAGCCGGCTCGGCTTGTGAGCTCGCCAGCCGACACGAATAAATATTAATATTTTTAAAATAATTTAATTTTATTTATTAAATTTAAATATTAAAAAAATAAATAAAAATCACCTAAGCTTTATTTAAATGTTAAACATTTCATAATTTTTTTCTAAATTTTGACTAAATTTTAAAAATCCCGCTTAAATTTTAAATCTCACCTAATTGTTAAAAATCCCGCATAAATTTAAAAATTCTCACCCATGGCTCACGAGCCGGCTCGAGCTCGTTTACAGTTAGACGAGCTCGAGCTACTCGAGCTCATATAATTTATCTTTTTATATAATAAGTCTAATAAAAAAAATTTAAAACTACCGATGTCGATCTCAAGCTCGTATGAAAAAAACTGATGATTTTTTCAATATTCATAATTTATGTCCCCACATAAAAATAATCATAACTCCCCCCGCTAATATCAATCTTTTATTTAACATGAATTATCTTGCAAGCATCAATATTAGGTTAACGACATAAAAAATCTGGAATGGATTTTTGTCCACTAAAAAGTCTGAGCATATCTCATCTAACCCAAGAAGATTTACTTTCTTTCAATAAAAACTTAGATTTAATAAATTTTAAATTTAAATGTAAAAGTTTATCGATACAAATCATATAGCGTCTATTTTTTATCATGTTGATGTTAACTTGATAGGACTCTTTTTTTCAGCCAAATTATTAAATTTCATGAAGTACAATTTGTTTTAAAATATTATACTAATTTGATAAATGTGTAAAGTGCAAATTATATTTATTTACCGATATAAATGAGTTGAGTTCAGCTTGAGTAACCCTTAACTTGAGCTTGAGCTTGATTAATGAAT